CTTTCATCCCTTTGAGTTACAACTAGGGTAGTCAACATGGTGGGTTCTAGGGTTATTTCTAAAAGCCATTTTACACCGAGACAGCTAAGTAAAGCTTAATGATCTTACAAAATGACTGCAGATACTCCACTAGTTTCAACTAAATGTCCCCAACTCATCTTTCCACCAATGCTGTCTCATGGCTGGATTAGAGGTCTAGCTCATGTGGTCAAACACCTGCCTAGCAAACATTTTAACCTCAGTTTAAACCCCACCACCACCACCAAAAACAAAAACAAAATGTCCATGGTTGCTCCAACCCTCTGTGCCACATGTTTCTCGGGTCTTAGAAAGGACCAGGCAACAGGGATGCTGACATTTCAACTTTATTAACTACACAGTGAGTCAACCTCTAGTCTGAGTTCCTATTTCATAAACGTTGATTGAGGAACATCTACTGGGTTGAAAGAGAAAAACCTAAATCAAGCAAAACTTCCATAGTGAAAGCTTCAAATCAGTTCAAATGACAAATAATTTTTTGGTGTGTCAAAGTGGCTCATCTTCCCATAGGTACCAGAGTGGTCCTTGCACTTTATTTGAGAGTTCTCAGAGAACCTCCATTCCTGTTACCACATACTGGTTAGACTGGAAACATCTTCTCTGTCTCCCTTTGCAGACAGAATGTGCTCATGAGAGATCCATGTGCAATGAACATGCCCTAACGATCATCTACTTACGAACAAAGCAGCTTGCTGAAGTGGGCTGAGAAACACCAGAAACTTTTCAAGAGACAAAGTAAATATTTCCTGAATTGCTAGAGACAGACTTGCTGGCAAGATTTTCAAAACAAAAACATGAAAGCTAGTAAAACAAAACAAATAAGAGCAATAATTTCTCACTAAAATGAGCTCCCTACCCAGGCATAGTATTCTTAAGACTACTAAAGCTGTGTATTCAGAAAAAAATTCTCCTTGTGTAGCAGTGTCCTATACTGAACAGAGTGTTCTGCAGATTAATCTCCTGAGTACAATCTGGTGGTCTAGTGACTCTGACAGAGGCTGCAGGCTATATTCCATTTGGGGATTTATCATGCACCTTAACCAAATTAAAGGCTCCAAGGATCTTGAAATCAAAAACCTACTTGTCCTAGTACTTTCTGCAGTAATTTAATTTTTTCCCCAAGGAATCTCTCATAAGATGCAGAGGAATTAGATTCACAGACTAAATTTTGAGTGCATTTCCTTGGCCTTGTTAGTGTTGCAGTTCTATATCAACCATTTCCCTATTACCAGTGTGTGCCAGTCACAGCTGACCTCCCTCTTCATCTTCACCATGCCCCAAAGCAGCCCTCAGGAAGGTAGCACCTGAGGATCCTTCTGACTAAAATTCTGTCCCTCCAAATACATATTGGCTGATTCTTTTACTTCATTCAAGTCTGGTCAGAATTTAACTCTTCAGCCTGGTGCTAGTCATCCTAGCTACTAGGAAGCTGAGATCCAAGAATTGAGGTTGGTAGCCAACACAAGCAGAAAAGTATACTCGTTTCCAACTCCAATTAACCAGTGTGTATGTATAAACAAACAAACAAATAAATAAATCTGGATTGTGGGCTTGTTCTCCAAGCTCATCTTATTACTCATAATACTTTCTTCCAATTTCCTGTTTTTTGGTGTGTGCACTGTAGGATTATTGCCAACTGATACTCCTTTAATTGACATAGCTAATGGGTAAAGTTCAAAGGGCCAAAGTCACAAGTGCCAAAGAAACACAGCCTCTCAAAAGCCATTCTTTAATAGGCAGTGCTCTATTTGCACTGCCAGCAGTGCTCCATTTCAACAAAACAAGAAAATAATTAAAACAAACTAGGTTTGATATTTTTGAGCATTGTAGCTTTGTTGTTCTGTGTTGTGTGTAGTTAGGTGTTTCTAATATCAGTGCTGATATCAGTGTTTTGGCACCTTCTGCTGATGAACTTCAGAACTTTCATTGCTCTACAGCAAGTCATTGCAATGAGTCATTCTTAATGACTCCATCAAACACATGCAGATGCCTGGTGGGTTTGGCATGTGCTTCAGTAGGTCACAGTTAGCTATGGTCGGCTTTGGGCCAGCTGTCACTAAGCATACAGTATAATAGATGGTATGACTATAGCTTCTCAGGAATTTTCTCCTAAATGCCATCTTTTGCAAATCAACAGTAGGAGAGCCTAAAGAAATCAACAGGATGGAGAGAAAACAGGTGGGGCAGATACAATCATAATTTCAATGTGTATGTATGAATATGGAATTTGGGGATTTGAGGGGATGGGTGGCACTGGGAGAGATGTGGGAGAACAATGGAAGAGGTGACACTAAGCAAGATGCACTGAACTCACACACTGATGTGTTGAAAGCTCTTTGTTCATCTACTTAAATCGTTATGTCAAAAAACAAACTACAACTTTGGGGGGGGTTGGGTTGGGAGAGGTAGGTAGGAGATGGGAAGGGATGGGAGGGGGAAAGGAGGAGACAATAATGCTTGATAAGAAATGTACTCATTACCTTGCTCATGTAATTGTAACCCCTCTATATGGTATTTTCACAATAAAAAAATTTTTAATGAAATAAAATGGAGCAAAAAAATCACAGGGCACTTTTTTTTCATATAATGTCTACCCATTTTACCCAATGTAGATTTTATTTTCAGTATTAATTATTTCCACATGGCTTACTTAGATGTCCTTTCTTCAATCCACTCAGGAAAGTGGTACCTAAATGCTTCATTTCCCAAAGCCATGTCAGTTCATTCACGTCCGTGATCAAAGAGCTCTGATTGATCTCTCTTACCCCAGTAGCATAGTTCTTAGCAAGGCATCTCACAGTCTATAAGCTGTAAAATGCCACCACATTTCTTTTTTTGTTTTATTGTTATTATAAAGGTGATGTACAGAAGGGTTACAGTTGCATAGGTCAGGTAAATCGTACATTTCTTTTTGGATAGTGTCACCTCTTCCTTCCCTCAGTCTTTCCTAGTTTTTCCCTCCCAGCTTCAACTCTTAAGATATTCTGGCTTGAATCCTTTGTGATTCAGTTACTTTCAAGTATTCCTTTTCCTCCATTAATCCTGCTTGCCTACTGCCTTCTGTCTGCTTCCCAACCCTCAGATTTGGCTCTGATGTTATCTTCTTAATGAACTCAGCCCAGTTCCCTGACAGGGAATTAATCTCTCTTCAGAGTTTCTCTTGCACTTTGTTCTTATGTTGATCTGGGAGTTAGCAGTATTGTCAGTTCCATGTTTACCTTTTTCCCTTACTTACTTCAGGGCAAGCATTCAACTTAGCCTTGCAAAATGGAATGAAACAGGAAAGAAAACATAACAGTCTAACAGCTGTCTAACATCTCCCCGGTAATGTCACCTGCTCATGGAGTGTTTTTTGAAGATTGACACTTTACCAATTAGCTTTCTGTTCAAGCTGAAAAAGCCTCAAAAACCATCTCAACAGCAAGCATATGAGGACAATGGGAGCAACACCATCATTCATGGGGTGGGGAGTCGAAGGCAAGCAAAGAACAATGAATGCAGACTTAATCTCAAGTGTGTTCATTTGGAAATGAAGGTATCTGTCTTCGAAGAGGAAAGCTGCTTATGATTTCCTGCTCAGACAGTTCACCAGTCAGTCCTACATTCTTATAGTTCTGTAAATGTGGTTTCAGGCTTTGCTCAGGCACTGACTACCTGGCTACACATCATCTCCAATGAAAAACTTTGGAGGTCCTGACAACAGCTCATCCGAGATGGGCTATGCTGGCCACTCAGAGGGGCACAGGTAGGGCAAGGGTGTCAGGGCCCTCAAACTTACCTCCAAGAGATCATTGGAGTGGAAAATTAAGTTTACTAGCTTAGCATAGCTGGAATTTTTTTTGTTTTTACACACGTAATCCAAGATAACAGCAGAGTCAACAAGTTAGTGTCCATTTTTAACATCCACCAGTCTGTTATTCTTTTTCTACAAAACTCACATCACTTCCACAAATAAGTGTGAACAGAGCAGATATGACAGTGGGAGCTATGGCTGCAAGCAAAGATGGATGTATCAAGGGCACCATCCACACCACCAAAGCCACTTGGGGCTGTTCTCTCTTTGTTGTAAGGGACCCCGTTTTACTTACCTTTTCTTTGTATATATCTAGCCCACAATTTGGATTCTTGTAGAATTAAATGTTCATTAAAAAATGAATAAGTCATGCTAGGTGCGAGTGGCTCATCCACTGTAATCCTGGCTACTCAGGAGGCTGAAATCTGAAGACCACAGTGTGAAGCCAGCCCAGGCAGAAAAGTCTGCAAGACTCCATCTCCAATTAATCAACAAAACACCTGGACTTCAGGCATGGCTTAAATAGAACTCCAGCCCTGAGCAAGAAACCCCAGAGAAAACACAAGGCTCCAAGTTCAAGCCCTAATACTGGGGTGGGGAGGGGTAGAAAAAAAAGAAGAAAAATTCAAAAAGAATGAAAGAATAAATCAATGCTTCATTCAGAGAAGTACTCCAAATATAGTACACAGGGAAGAGAGAGTTTTTAGAGCTGGAAAGAATCTTGTTTATCCCTCTTTGGTACTTGTTAGATCAGCAATGTGTAAGTAAAAATTCACATCTTTCTAGAGGTATTAGCAGGAATATTAAGTGATTTTTAACTGTCAAATGTAGGAGATGTGAAAAAGAAGTTGTTTTTTTTTTCTATTTGGGAATACACAAGAAGAAGACAAATCAGGAATGAGGTTTACTTGAAGTCAAGTGTTTCTCAGTAAATGAATACAAAGAAATGTCAGCTTCCTGGGGTCGTCCTATTCCTCCTAGATAAATACTCATCTCCACAAAGGCTTGGGGGATTTGCCTTACTATTCCTCTACATTTTGAAACTGAGTTACAGTGTAACCTGCCGGTAGTCCTGTCTGAATTCATGGTGCTATTTAGACAGAGCAAAGTCCACAGAAAGTTCCCCTGACATGCAAAGGCCAGAGCCCCAGAAGAAAACAGGTGCCGACTCTGAGCAGGGCTGCTGAGTCCCAGGTGTGAGTCCTACTGTGCCAGCAGTCTATGCCTCCAGCAATGAGCTCTGCGCTTTCAGAATTTTTGAGAGAGCTTCCTGGTACGTTCCTGTTCTTGGGGATCTTCCTGCCTGTGGCTTTGCTGCTGTTCCTTCTCATTGCCTACTTTAGGATCAAACTGATCGAGGGTAAGTGCAAGGCCACACACAGAAAGGCTCAGATATCTTTTCCCACAGCACACCTCACGAACACCCAATGCACCCGCCGTGTTCTGGGGAGGTCTGGAGAAACACAACTTAAGTCCTCTCTTGGGACACTGGGCAAGTTCCTTTTAGTTCCATAGACTGTGTGCTAGGATGTGAATGTCTGCTAAGTCCCTCACAAACTGTGAATCGGCAGTTCGGGCAAGGGGTTGCTTACCTGTCTTTTAAGGGAACAGATTCACAAACATTAAACTACTCAGGATCTACCTTCTCTCTGACAGATGAATCGTGTCTGGCACAGGCACCCATGTGTTTCTCTCCATGTGACACACCCATGATTGTGTATTCATACACATTTCTTTCCCAGCCAGGATGTGTTGCACACATTGTTTGGTAAATGTAAAGCTCTAAAAGACAGATGATCGATCTTGGTATAGATTCCTGATGAGAGAATAGTGTTAAAGTGGAGGGAAAAGAAAGGGAGGGGAGGGGAAGAGAAAGGAGGAGAGGGAAGGGAATTGAGATTTTTATTCTGGTAAAATTAAAACATAAAAATGAGCTGTTATTCTTGTACCAAATAAATACTCCATATCATAGAGGTTAACAACTATTTTAGCAATATCAACAAAAATCAATGTATTTTTAAATTTTGAAGAGGTCATATTAAAACCACTTAAAAGCTTGAAAACCCCCTCCTCTTTCACAAAGATGAGCCAAGTCTATGTGATGCCTTTGTGGCTATTGCTAGGTATCTTCAATCACTAATACTATGATATGTAACCTAAAGTCTAGCAACAGAGCAATAAGGATGAGAATTTGAACATACAGATATCCTAGGGGACATAGAATAAATGACAGAATCACAAGTTCTCCATTATACCTTACTCAAAAACTCTGTCGCCTTTTATTTTGTGTGTCTCTTTTTGATGCACAGCTCTCGTGTTGGGTGGTTATTATTTTAGCTGTTAATATTTTTTTTGCTTTTGTCAAATACTTGTACAGAGGGTTTCAGTTAAACATCAAGTTATGTGTGCAATGCATCATTCCCTCAGTTTATCCCATTGCCTCCCGTCTCAAGTTTGCTAATTTGGTTTTCATGTCTGTACATAGTTAGATGGGTATATTCACCCGCCATTCCTCTTTTCATGCATCCAAGTTATAATCTGCCTCACTCTGCAGGACATAGGTGACAAATTCTTTCCTTAATTAACTCAATTCATCCTTCACTGCCCAAGACCAGTCTGTTGGACATGCTGCCATCCAGCCATGCATGCCTACTAAGCCCTACAAAAAGCTTCCCAAAAAAGAGAGGGAATGAGAAAGGTGTGGAATCTTAACTACATCTTCCCTTCAGCCTTCCATGTACCTTAAGACCCAGCACATTTGCTTTTACAGTTTTTGCAGTGGCCACTCTTAGCTACATGTATCCCAGGCTCCCATTGACTCCAAGTACCCTAGGGAGAAATAAAACAATGCGGCTGTCACAGTTAGAAACTTGAATGTTTCATGCTGTTTCTGGGCTTTATCTCTAGCTGCTTCTTTGGAAAGACAAAATTTTCAGATCAAAAAAATGTATCAAGCACGAAATGAGGCGAAGAACAGGTCAAGACTTTTCAAAGGCTTTACTGGCTTCTGCTCATCAGTAATTATAAGTCTGATAATCCTGTGGCACAGCTGGCATTTGGAACAGACTGCCAAGTAGAGATTTCCTTATCTCTGGGAAAGCATCTATAATATGTAGGCATGAATTAGTTTACAGTATTCTAGCTAGATAGCTAAAATTATAAGCATGTCAGACACATTCCTTCAAAGTGCTCTGGAAAAGCCATCTTGGATTTGGAAGTGTGGTCTGATGGCCTAGAAGGCAGGTCCAGGAGAAAATGCTCAGAAAGCACTGGTCAGCCCTGACCTTTGGTGAAGACTATACCATGTTCCAAGAACCTCGTGGTAAGAGAAGCTCCTCTAAGAGGCAGGGCTGACTTGTTTTCTATAACAGATCTGGTCTCATCAACCCATGCACTCACTCATGAAGCAGAGTTCTCATGACCCAATCACTTCCTAGAGGTCCTGTCTGGATCTTAATGTCCTGAGGTCTTAATACCTCTCCAAAGGGGAATGAGTTTCCACATAAGCTTCAGTATAGAACTAAACCATAGCTACCAAATAACAGAGGATTACATTAGACACCAGAGCAGACTTTAACTATGGACTTTCAAGACGGACAAAAAGTCATCTGACTCTAAGAAATCACAAAAGGTACTGAACAAACATCATCCGCAGTTAGCAGTGTTAGAAATATGAATATTTTTGATGTTGGTCTTAGTCTACATATAGTCAAAACTACTGTCTAGTCAAACCTGTCCTTTCTACTATGTCTTTTAATAAATGTCAGAGTGAAGATAGGATCCTCACCAGGCACTTGTGTCTCATGCCTGTAATCCTAGTTACTCAGGAGGCTGAAATCTGAGGACCAGAGTTCAGAGCCAGTCCACTCAGTAAAGTACAAGAGATTTTAACAATTAACTACCAGAAAACTGAAATTAGTGCTGTGGTTCAATGTGGTAGAGGACTAGCTTTGAGCAAAAGAGCCCAGGCCCCAAGTTCAAGCCCCACAACCAAGAAAGAGAGAGAGAGAGAGAGGGAGAGAGAGAGAGAGAGATTCCTTTAAACAGCTAACTGGTACCCCTGCAGTGGGATGAGCCACCTTTTCCATTGTCATCTACTTGGGTCTGGCTGGCTCTCACTTAACTGTGCCTGGAACTTACATTCTACAAGTAAGGATTACGAAGTGTGGGCACCATTTCCTGCAGCATAATATTGTTATGACTATTCATCAGCCATTAAAAACAATGCAAGTCTCATCTGAAACATACTGTTTAAATATTATATTAAATGTCTCTTTCTGGAGACATTTTTCCATGGATAATTAGTAATATTCTCTCTCTCTCTCTCATTTGTGAGGACAAATGAAATCCCAAAATAAAATATCACCAGTTTTGTATCTCCATTTAGCAACAGCCACTTAAAAAGTGTAAACAGATGGGCAAATGTCATGTCTTTCATCTTCCAACCAGGGCTACAGCAAGTGTAACTATTCCTGTTTTTGTTCACACAAAGAGAAGGACATTGACAGATTAACTGGTTGCTCACAGAACCCCAAGCTCTCCAATCTAAAACAAGAAACTAGTTTGCCTGTCTCATATACATGCTAGACTTTCAGACTAGGGGGCCATTTTAAGATGTGAGGGAGAGCAGTGGAGGTACTGTAATCATTCACCATTAATCCCTATTCTTCAAGCTTCTGAAAGTAAGGGTACATGTAAATTTAATTAGTTAAGTAGAGAACATCCATTTTCTCACAAGGAAGAAAGAAAATTGCCTAACATCCTGTACTCTACAGTCTGTCAATTGTGTTGCTAAGTAGCCCAGGTCTGACTCTTGAACTTTCCATAGCCAAACCTTCCTTCTGACATTTCCTAAAGTGGAAGTGAGTCCCAACACTCAAAAACTTCTAGTGTTACCTAGCCTCTAACCTATCATCACCCCGATCAAGAACAAATCATTCTTTAAAAGGACCAACAATGTCACCAGGTGTCGGTGGCTCATGCCTGTAGTCCTAGCTACTCAGGAGGCTCAGAGCTAAGGATTGTGATTCAAAGCCAGCCTGGGCAAGAAATTCAATGAGACTTTTTTTTGGGGGGGGGGGAGAGCCTGGTTGTGGGGCTTGAACTCTGGGCCTGGGCGCTGTTCCTCAGCTCTTCAGCTCAAGGCTAGTGCTCTTCCGCTTGAGCCACAGTGCCACTTCCAGCTTTTTTCTTTTTGCTTATGTGGTGCTGAGGAATCGAACCCAGGGCCTCATGCATGCAAGGCAAGCACTCTACCACTGAGCCATCTTCCCAGCCCCTCAAGGAGACTTTTATCTCCAATAAAAACCACTCCGAAAACCAGAAGTGGTGCTTCTGGTTCAAGCCCCACAACCAACAATAACAAAAAAAAGGACCAACAATGTTACCGATAATCATTAATAAAAACAATTAGGGAAGTGACATGGCTCAATGTGGTAGAGGACTAGCCTTGAAAAAAAAAAAAAGAGCTCGAGAATAGCACTCAAGCCCCAAGTTCAAGCCCTATGACCAAACAAAACAATAAAAACAAACAAAAAAATGGGTCTATGGAGCACCTTGAAGTTGTACAGCCATAGGTCTAAAATAAGGGAAGATAATTAGTCAAGATCAAGGTTTCAAGCCAGACACCTGTAATCCTAGCTACTCAAGAGGCTGAGATCTGAGGATTGCGGTTCAAAGCCATCCAGGGCAGGAAAGTCCATGAGATTCTTATCTCCAATAAACTACTAGAAAACCAGAAGTGGCACTGTGGCTCAAGCAGTAGAGCGCTTGCCTTGAGCTGAGTAGTAGAGGGACAGCACCCAAGCCCAGAGTTCAAGCCCCATAACTGACCAAAAAAATAAAAATAAAAAAGATCAGGGTTTCAGCAACTTGTACTCTAAAACAGACAACTAGAATGCTGAAATTGCACCAGGTAGCTAGGCATCTTTCACTGAAAGTCATATGTGCATTTTAGTCATCAGCAATCAAAAAGGGAAAAAGGAATTCTTTGGAAAGAACAGAATAACTTGAAATGTAGCAGAATGTCATTGCTAAGAGCTCAGACATTGGAGTAAAATTATCTATGGTTTGAACTCCAGCTCTTTAACAAAGATGAAGCTTCCTATTCTTCTGTCTTGTATATCCCAGGAAGGAAGAATGTGTGTCATTATGATAGTTATTAAAATAGTCTCAGAATAATTCAGTAAAGCACCCTGAGCCATTCACCTCAAAAGTACTACACTGGACTCAAGCCCTGGAGTTTTGACTACTAGATAGGATGGGTTTATTAATTGATGAGTTTTCCTGTTCCTTAGTTCTCTACTCAATTTCCTCACTCACTCATTATCCAAGTTACATACGTTCACCTCTATTCTTTGTACCTCGGTCACTCACTTGAAGGATCAGCTGTGTCGTTGAAGAACTCACTCTTATTTCACTGGGTCTATACTCTAAGAATGGGGCCATGTTAAAGGAGTATCTTCCAAATAGCAAACCACCTGTATGCGAGACAATGTGACCCAGTTGCTGAAGTCAGACTTTCTGGGATCATATGCTGGATCCATGAGTTTCTTTGGTGTTGGGGAAACTGCTTCATTTTGATAGCAGTCTGTCCAGGCTACTAATCAATAAGTTAAGAATAATAATGGTGGGCTGGGAAGATGGCTCAGTGGTAGGGCACTTGCCTTGCATGCCTGAGGCCCTGGGTTCGATTCCTCAGCACCACATAAGCAAAAAGAAAAAAACCGGAAGTGGTGCTGTGGCTCAAGTGGTTGTACGCTAGCCTTGAGCTGAAGAGCTGAGGGACAGTGCCCAGGCCCAGAGTTCAGGCCCCACAACCGGACCCCAAAAAAAAAAAAAGAAGAAGAATGGTGTCCAACTGGGACCATCATGGCTAGAATGAAAGGGCTTTGCAGTATGCCTGGTATCAGCAAGTTCACAAGAGATACTGGCAAGTAAATCTTCAGGCTTAAATATATGGACTTTCTCCTGAGTAAGATAAGCATTTGTGGAAGCCTAGAATTCATAGAGTATGTGTTTCCTGGGTGGATGCTTTATAAAGTACTAGACTAGAAATAAATTGCATAGACTTGAGGTGGAAGACAGAAAGTTCTATAAATACGTTGAAATTGCTATGGTGATGTATGTGGGTGATATCAGCACTCAGGATGCTTAGGCGAGAGCATCGTGAGCCAGTCTGGATTACATATAGAGACCATGCCTCAAAACACAACCAACTAAGAATATGTTTATTGAGCATTAGAAGCTCAGTTTCTGGCTTAATTGTATTCTGAAAACAAAATTTTTGAAAGCAAAAGCATGATCAGTTAACCATAGGTGTTGGTGAAGGTCAAGAAAACATGTTGAGAACAGGTCTCAAAGCTGAGAATCAAATTTGGCTACTGCCAGAGACACTAGTTAAAGAAGCTACAAGAAGAATTCACAGGAAGACAATGTACAATAGAATCAGAGAAAGGGAATTGGGAAAATGTTTCAATAGGTCAAAAATAAAAGTCAATTAACACCCTTTAATATTTTAGTAGCTTTACTTTGAAGTAATATTATAGGGAATTAAGTAATATATAGCTTGCAAAAAGTTGAAGCAGCCAGTCATCAGTAAAAGATGCCAAAAGGTAAGAGGGGTAAGACTAATTTGGCTTGCCTAAAAACTGTAAGTGCTCAAATACATTTTGGGGAGGGAGCAGTAACGCCGCTATTTTACTCATATCCTCCACTCATGGCTTAATCAACACAATCTGCCAAATATGCTGTTCTCAGCACGTAACAATTACAACAGTAGTCATCTGTCCACAATATGTGGCTGAAGAGGTGAGAGTATCTAGAACAGAACTTGCTCTGAAAACTTGGGTTTCTGTTAAATCACTAAGGCCACCGCAGCTGGAAATGCTGGCCCAGTAGCCACTTACACACTGTAAGGCATCGGTAACACTCAATTGTCTCCAAATCACTAATAGATATTTTTCTTTTTAGTTAATAAAGAACTGTGGCAGATTGCTGATTGCCAATACAAACTCAAGGATGGCTCTTCCTGTACCAGAGAAAGGAACAAACACAAATGCTGGGACCCATCAAAGGCTAAAGCACAATGAATATCTACATATCACCGAGCAATGGTTAACCATTTAGCTAAAAAGTTGGTTGCTAAACTAGAACCACAGCAAAGAAAGAAGATTAAGATGCCTCCTCAGAACCACACTGAAAAGTGATGTCGAGGACCCATGAGGACCTCTGGGAGACTCTGCTTCTACAGCTATGCTTCTGCAAGTACAAAGAACATAAAGGTTTACTTGGGTATTCTCAATGGACTGGACATCTTATAACTTTTTAACTTTTACTGTTACCATGTTTACTCTGAAAAAAGTATTTTATAAAATAAAAATCTGTAGACATCATTGCCTACAATAAGCCTGACTTATTTACAGATTATACAGGGTTCTGACCAAGAACAGTCAAAAAATAATCAAGAAAATTGCAAAAAAAAACAGACAAACCCAAAAACCGTTTTAATTCCCATGTGCACATTTCTTCTATTGATGCAAAGCTCTCAGTCCCACATGAGCACCAGTTAGTTGTATTCAAATTGCCATGGAATCCAATATTTTTTTACTTTTCATTTCCTGAAAATCAGCCTCCCAGAAAGCAAATAGTGTCCAATGTGCTCAATTTAAATAGCAACATAAAAAATTGAGATTTATTAAAGATAACCAACCTTCTTTAGGGGAAATTCAGCAGTGTTGTGGGGAAAATGAATCAAGCAGCTGTAGTCCTACACTGAACTCTATGTATCCTAAGAACCCTCAGTATGGAAAAAAGTTTTCTTGGAACTACATATACCCAATGCCAAGAGCCCACTATAATTCTATAGAAACCCACCTGATTCTGATTTTACAGGGGAACAAAATCTGGGAAAGGGCAACAATAGCAAGAGCATGTATGGACAACCTATATATGCAAGATCCATCCTACCTGCTCTCCTAAAGGCTGGCAATTCTTCCATGAAACCACGTCTGCATTTTCTTTTTTGTTGTTTTTAAATGCTTTTTTAATTGTAAAAACACTGTACAGAGGGGTTACAGTTACATGAGTAATGAGTACATTTCCTATTGAGCATTGTTTACCTCCTCCTTTGTTTTTCCCTACCATCCCTTCCTGTCCCACCTCTCCAACTCCACCCTCCCCCTCCCCAAGTTGTAAAGTTCGTTTTCAACATAGTGTCTTGTACATCTCATTGTTACAATGGGTTAACCTATATCCTTATTTCAGCATTTTGTATTTCTCTTCCCTTCCCCAAATTAGAAAAATGTATATAGAAGATGCAGGGCACCGACTTCAAATACAGTGAAAACAGGGGTTAAACTGTGGGGGAAGAACATACAAGAGAAACAAAAAAAATCACATAGTACATTTTAAATACGTTAAAAACAAAAGCAAGCAAGAAAAAACCACTTGTGTCCCTATCTTGAGCTTCATTTCACTTAACAGAATCTTATATGGTCATATGTACAAAGCTTATGATTCCTTTTCTGCTTGTCCTAGACTTACACTAGTTATTGCAAATAAGGCAAGCCATGGGACTTATGTTTCTTTGGGCCTGGCTTACTTCACTTAGTATAATTTTTCCCAAGTCTTTCCATTTCCTTACAAATGGGGTAATGTCATTCTTTCTGGTGGAGGCAGAGAATTCCATGGTATAAATATACCACATTTTCTTGATCCATTCATCTACGGAGGGGCATTTGGGTTGGTTTCCTATCTTAGCTATGGTAAATAATGTTGTGATAAACATAGGTGTGCTGATAATTTTAGTATAACCTTGTGTGTGATCGTTTGGGTAAATGCCCCAAAGATCATAGGGGAGCTCTATGTGGAGACTTTTGAGGAACCTCCATACTACTTTCCAAAGTGGTTGAACAAGTTTACATTCCCACCAACAATGGAATAGGGTTCCCTTCTGTCCACATCCCCTCCAGCATCTGTTGTTATTAGAGTTCTTCATTATAGCCATTCTAACTGGGGTGAGGTGGAATCTCAATGTTGTTCTGATTTGCATTTCTTTTGTGGCTAGAGAAGTTGAGCAGTTCTTCATGTGTCTACTGGCCACTCTTTAAATCTTTAGCCCACTTATTTATTGTGCAGTTGTTTCTTTGAGGATTTGTTGTTGGAGGATTCAGTTTCTTGAGTTCTAACTATATTTTAGATATGAGACCATTGTCCGTTTTATGGCTAGTGAAGATCTTCTCCCAATCCATGGGCTTTCTATTGAACTTGCTAGCTATGTCCTTTGCCATGCAAAAGATCCACAGTTTTATGCAATCCCATTTATCCAACCTTTTTTTGATTTGTTGTGTTTCTGGGTCTCTATTAAGAAAATTTCAACAAAGTGCCAAGGAGCCCTAGAGTTTCTCCTACTCCTTCCTGTAATGTTTTCAGTGTGTCTGCTTTGACTTCGAGGTCTTTGATCCATTTGGAATTGATTCTGGTACAGGGTGATTAGGATCTAGCTTTAGTTTTTTGTTTTGTTTTTGTTTTTTTGCCGGTCATGGGGCCTGAACTCTGGGTCTGGGCGCTGTCCCTCAGCTCTTCAGTTCAAGGCTAGTGCTCTACCACTGGAGCCACAGCGCCACTTCCGGATTTTTCTGTTTATGTGGTGCTGAGGAATCAAACCCAGGGCCTCATGCTTGCAAGGCAAGCACTCTACCGCTGAGCTACCTTCCCAGCCCTAGCTTTAGTTTTCTACAAGTGTTTAACCAAATTTTCCAGCATCATTTACTGAAGAGGCTGTCTTTCTTCCATTCTATTTTTTAGCTCCCATATCGAAGATTAGGTGGCTTTAGTTCTGTGGGTTCATTTCTGGATCTTCAATTCTATTTCCATTGGTCCTGAGGTCTGTTCTTGTGCCAGTACCAAGCTGTTTTGATTATTATGGCTTTGTATTAGAGTTTGAAATTTGGTATTGATGTTCCTCCAGCACTATTCTTTCTGCTAAGGATTGTTTTTGCTATTCAGGGTCTTTTATTGTTCCATATGAATTTTTGGATTGAAGAATGAGGTTGGAATATTGATAGGTATCACATTGAATTTGTAGATAGCCTTTGGCAGTATTGCCATTTTCACGATGTTAATCCTCACAATCCAGGAACATGGGAGGTTTTTCCACTTCCTAAGTTCTGCTTTAATTTGCTTTTTGAGCAAGTTTTCATAGTAGAGGTCTTTCACTTTTTTAGTTAACTCCTTGGTATTTTATTTTTTGTGGGGCTATTACAAAAGGAGTTGCTTTCCTGATTTCAGCTGTGCTCTTCTCATTGTTGGTATATAGAAAAACCATTGACTTTTGAGGGTTAATTTTATACCCTGCTACTTTGCCAAAGTTTCGAATCAGCTCCTATAATTTTGGAGTGGTGTCCATGGACTTCTTTAAATACACGATCATATTATCTGCAAAGAGGGAGAGTTTTATTTCATCTTTCCCTATTTGCATCTTTTCTTATTGCTGTAGCTAGGCATTCTAATACTAAGTTGAAGAAAAGTGGAGGTAGTGGACATCCTTGTCTCGTTCCTGAGTTTAGAGAAAATATCTTTAGTTTTTCACCACTACAGGTGGCTATAGGTTTGTCATACACAGCCTTTATTATATTGAGGATGTTCCATGGATTCCTAGTTTTTCCAGCACCTTCATCATAAATGAGTGTTGGATCTTGTCAAATGCTATTTCTGCCTCTATTGAGATAATCATGCAGTTCTTATTCTAGCTCTTGTTGATATGATGAATTATATTAATTGATTTGTGTATATTGAGCCAGCTTTGCATCCCTGAAACCTGTTTGATCATGGTGTATGATTTTTTTGATGAGTTGTTGAAGTTGATTGGCCAAAATTTTGTTCAGAAGTTTCCCATCGATGTTCATCAAAGAAATGGGCCTATAGTTCTTTCTTTGATGAGTCCCTGCCTGGTTTTGGGATGAGGGTTATGATGGCTTCATAGAAAGAGTTCGGTAGTGAACTTTCACTTTCAATTTCATTGAAGGGTTGGAGGAGTATTGGTGTGAGTTCTGCTTCGAAGACCTTGTAGAATTCTGCTGTAAATCCATCTGGTCCTGGGCTTTTCTTAGATGGGAGGTCTCATTGCTGTTTCTATTTCATTGCTTGATATGGGTCTGTTAAGTTGGTTTAACTCACTTTAGTTTCTGCATGTAGATATTTTCTAGGAAATCGTCCATTTCTTCCAGATTCTCAAACTTATTAGCATAAAGGTTTGAGAAGTATTCCCTTATAATATTCTGAATCTTGGTTGTTTCTGTGGTGATGTTTCCATTCTCATCTCTGAGTTTATTTGGGTGTGTTCACTTTTTTTTCTGGTAAGATTTGCTAAGGGTCTGTCAATTTTGTGAATTTTTTCAAAGAACCAACTCTTTGTTTTGTTGATTCTCTCTATGGGTTTTTGGATTCTAATTCATTTAATCCTGATTTAATTTTAATTATTTCTTTCCATCTACTGTATTGAGGTTTAGCTTGTTGCTCTTTTTCAGGGAGCTCCAGGTGTCTCATTAAATTGTTGGTTTCAGATCTCTCCAATTTGTTGATATAGGAATTCAGAGCTATAAATTTGCCTCTGAATACTGCCTTTGTTGTGTCCCAGAGGAGCTGGTCATTTGTGTGTTCACTTTTGTTGAATATCATGAGCACTTGAATTTCCTTTCTAATCTCTTCCATCACCCACTGGTGTTTCAACAGTGTGTTGTTCAGCCTCCACATGTTACACGACTTTTTTTGGTGGCTTTTGGTGTTTTCTAATTTTATTCCCTTGTGGTCTGAGAGAATGCAGGCCATAATTTCAATGTTTCTAAAAGGACAAATTTGCTTTATGACCTAGAATTTGGTCTATTTTGGAGAATGCTCCATGTGCTTCTGAGAAGAATGGGTAAAATATTTGGTAGATATGTTAAGTCTAGTGGATCTGAGGTCTAGATCTGAGGTTTCTCTGTTGAGTTTTTGCAGGGTTGATCTATCCAGTGAGAATAGTGGTGTGTTAAAGTCCCCAACAATTAATGTCTTTGGATCTATGTTAGATTTGAGGGAAAGTAGTGTTTCTTGGATAAATTTGGGTGCTCCATTGATTGGTGAATAGATATTTAGAATTGTAATATCCTCCTGAAGGAGAGATT